CCCCCCCCAATGATTCAGGGACTTTTCCAGAAAGATTTTGCTCAAGGCTGTATTATAAGAAAATGCGGTACTTAAGGCCTAGGGATGTCAGGTAATTTCCAGGAAAACAAATGCATTTTGGGGGAGAATAAATAATCTCAGTAGAGTCCTTACTGAGAGTGCTCAGACTTGAGTTTGGTTTCATTCTGACAGAAAAGAAGGAAGGATAACAACTTCCTTTCAAAAACCAGAAAGTCAACAGGGGAACACCTCTCTGCTTCTTTCTTCAACTTATTCTTCAAAATATACAGAGAAACAAAACTGAACTTCAAACATACCTTTTCCATGGAGTCAGCCTTCCTTGGGCAAGTAATAAAACCAGATGCCTGCATTCTGAGTGACGCCCATTCAAACCTTTGAATAATTCTCGGTTCCCCCTCAATTCCCACAACCGCTACTTTCCTCCCGCCAGCAGGAGCATTATATTAGCCTGCTACCTAGAGTCCTTATCTTTTGCCTCGCCCTTCTCAGATCCATCCTTCATGGCACTGCCAGAGGTCGCAAAAGCCCGACCTTGCTCACTTCCCCTTGCTTTTGCCCCTACACACCATCTCTTCTCCTGCTTCTGAGTCTCCAAGCAATGCTGCTCTGCCTGAACACCTTCCACCCCTGACCACTTAGTAATCTCCTCCTGAGCGTCAAGGGGTCAGCTCAAGATTGACTTTCCCTGGAGGGGAGCTATCCATTTTGGTTTTCTCCAGACTGAGTTAGGTGGTTTGTCCTATTCCCATGACACTGTGCATCCCTCTACCCTAGAAATTCACAGTGATTCTGTCACCTAATTCACCAGTGGGCTGTGAGATCCCTGAGGCTGGACTGTATTTTAGTGATCTGTATGCCCCAGCTCTTAGCTAAACTCCTGGGCACATGGAACATACTCCGAAATATTTACTGAAATGGACCCATAAAGTTGTTACAGAGCTGCAAAAAAATATGGTATCACATCAGGCATAAGAATGTAAAATCTGGGCCAGCCCATATAATCTGAGGTCTCTGAGCAACCTAACTCCAACTACTGCTAGAGAGAGAGAGAAAAAAAAAATAGTGCTGAGTGTTATTTTCCTTTTCTTTGTCATTTTTAATATATTCAGGTTAGCGAGAGAGCTAAAATAAAAATGGCAGAAAAAAGCTGGGTAGCTAAACAGAATTACTCAGACTATTGTGAGCTACATTTTAAAAAATATTTTAACACTCAGAGTAATTGATGTGTATAGCAAATAATATTCACACCACGAGAGCACAGTTTTACATTTTGTTCAAACATTTTCCAGATCACTTTCTATATAAGAGACACAGTTCTAAAAATATCAGTTCACTTAATTCTTGTAACAGCCTTAAGAGGTCATCACAGGACCAATTTGGAACTTTCTTTACTGACTTGTGATAATGAGCTGACTCCTTTTTCCAACATCCAGCGGAAAGAGTTTACACTGAAGACAATAGTAACATCTACAGAACTAAAAGTCCTTTTCAAATGTCCTAAGAGGCATCAAAGGATCTAAGGGAGGAGATCACATGGAAATGGGTACTGCAATAGTTATCACCTCTAATGCACTTGCAGAAGATAAAACAAATAATAAATTGAAGTTTTGAGCGGGATTTTTGTATGGCCTTGGGGCACCACACATTTAAAATAAATCACCTGATAAATCACAGACAGAAGGCAATAGGATACTCAGAGGATCAAGATAAATCCAGGCTTGTCACAGCATAAAGCAGATAACAACAGAATCTTGAAAATGGCCTTCTTATTTACACTCTGAGTAAAGAGTGATGATGAATTGCAGATGGAAGACTTCAAAAGAGCAGACTGAAGTGCACACAAGTTGAAGTGCTACAGAGTGAAAGCTAAGGGCGCCGAGTCCCTAGTGAATAGCGTACTGGTCCGTATTGATGAACAGTCAGTGGCACGGGATTTGCAGACATCAATGATTATAGATTGGTACTAAAGTGGCAGCAACTTTCCCATTTTGAAAAGAATAGTACATGGGGGAGGAAAATACAGATATTAATAAGTCAGAGGAACACCTATACCACAGGATAACGTTAGCAGAGTTGTATCAATGAACTTGAATGAAGCTGCCGGAGGCCTGCTTGTCAAATTTACTGATGGCTGGAGGTCTGGAGAAATGGCTCATGCTTTGGATAATAGGGTCAGCACTGAAGAAGATCTGGTTAAACCTCAAATTAACAAATATATGCATGTATCAGTTGGATATCCTATTTGTATGTCACCTCTTCACAAGGACCCTTTTCCTCCTCTTTAACTGAATTTATTCCTCATATGGCCTTTGGGTTTCTCCACTCACCATCAAATGACCCTGTTTGGTTTTCAACATAGCACTTATCCCTTTTTGAGGTTTTTCTTATGTTTTTATTAGTTTATTTGCTTTCTTCCTAACTTCCCTGGAAAGTAAAATGCATGAAAGTAGTAACTTTAATTAACTTGTGTCACAGAGTGGAACAGGGGCACTAAGTAAATATATGTCAAAAAAATTAAAATGCCTATTTATTCCCTTCTCTTAAAAACATATTTGACTAGGGGGAAATGAGTAAACATGACAATAGTAATTCTTGAGAAATATGACATCTATAGAAGCACCAAGCTGGAATCAGAACTGGGTGGTTTTGCCACCAAGTGGTCATTTGACCTCTGGTCAATCATGTAATTTCTTCGGGAACTGTTTCCTTATTTGTGAACAGGAGTGATAATAGCCCCTCAGAAGTTTTAAAATAATGTATGTAAATGAATTTTATAAACTGTAATGTAGAAAACAAACGTGAAGAATTATGATTGGGGGTCAGGGTAAAGGGGTGACTAAATGCTCCATGTGAACCCTCCAATGTCTTCTGACTTTTTAAAAAATAATTAGCAGTGAACATTGGTTGCATCTAAATAATAGTAGACATTTTGTACTCTCAAGACCCAAGCCAGGTTATTGTATTTCCTCTTAGCTGCATATTAGGAAAGGTATTGACAACTGTTTCAAGGAAGACCAAGCAAACATAGGTTGCAGAGAGAGTGTTATTTGAAAAACAATGGAAACAATTGAAAAAGTGAGAGTAGGGAGCATGGAAAGGGAAGGGGACTGTGATGGTTATTATGAATTTGTGCAAAATTTGTTTCAAGATGCAAACTATCTTGAATTGGGTATAAAAGACTCAGAAAGACAAATGTTGGTTAAAGACCTTGTTTCAACATAAGGAACAGTTTTCTAACCTTTAGAGCAGTCCCATATGGTAGAAGTAATAAATTACGCTGGTCACATCTAAACTAGGTAGACACAGATCAGCAGTGTTATCAGGAGGCGCCCGATATAAGCTGAAGTTTAGCCTAGATGATTCCACAGTCCTTCCCAAGTCCAAGGTTATAGTCACTCAAATGCAATGTTCCTATCATGCTCATTGAGAATGAAAGGATCCTGAGCTCAGACTCAGGCAAATCCCCGAATACTTTCCTTAGAGACCAAATCAATTAATGAGAGGATGACAGGTGGAAGCAGTCCTGAGTCCATGAGAAGGATGACCGGCGGGGTGTGGTAATCCCCCCAGAGAGCACTTCTGCTTATGCCACGCCCGTCCTGCTGAGAATCTGCGCCCGCTGTCCGGCGTGTCTCCTTGGCTTGACAACAGTAACTGTGAGCACATTTAAGACCCTTAGCGTCCCTTAAGGATCCGCTGCTGCATCTCACATGACACTTGCTGTTGCACATACAAATTCTAACTGTATCTTCAATAGGGTCTCATTTCCAGTTTTGAGGAAGAGATGCCTTAAAGATGCAGCAAGTGCTACACTGGCAAAGCCAAACGCACGTTAAAATGTTTCCCTGAAATGACTTTTGCGGAGTCCTGCCGGGGAACACAGCGGCTCCCCCTCATTACCTCTGTGTTTACGTTACAGAGAAACGCAACAGTGTTACAGAGAAACGCAGACCTACCCATGTGCGGTTTATAGAAACCGCAGCTGAGAAGCGCAGGAGAAAGAAAGTAGCAAAGCCGGAGATTGGACCCAGAGAGAAACAGGTAAACATCGTTTTCATTACTTTCCCCCCGCCCTCCCCCTAGGGAGGCGGCTGCGGTGCGGGCTCAGTGCTGGAATGAGGGGGAGCTGAGCCCAGCCGAGCCCAGGCGGCGGCTCCTCGGGTGTCACTGCTGCAGCCGCCGGCGCCGGGTCCCTAAGTCCCCGCGCCTCGCTCCGGGTGCGAGACCGCCGCGCACAGCCAGCCCCGCACAGCCGGCTCCGCACAGCCGGCCCCGCACAGCCGGCCCCGCACAGCCAGCCGCGGCGCCACCGAAGTTGCGGAGCGCAGGACTCCGGAGGCATTGGCTCGTCAACTTTTCACGTCATT